TAACAATGTTTCTGAAAGCTAGAAATAGTCCCAAATAAGTTGCTCACAGCAGATCCCCATGGGGTTGTTTGAGCCAGTTTCGGCTTCTCCGCTTGTGGCTTCCCTGCTCAGCCTGGGCTCTGAGCTGAGCTCCGATTTGTGGCTGTGGCTGCTGGCTGCACACTGCCATGTGGATGACACCAACTCTGCCTGTGGCGGGGGTGCAAGCCCCAGTACACCCCTGCTGTGCGCCTCTCTTTCCTGCCTGCTCTTCATGATTGACTGAGGCTGCACCCGCAAGGGATGGCGTACCTGCTGTGCAGCATCTGAGAGCCGCGAGCGTCACTCACCACATCTGCTGTCCTGGAGCGCCTGGCCTGTGCCACAGGTCCCTGGGCCCTCCGGGGCCTTGGCTGGCCTCTGGGCCACCTCGTACTCTGTGCCCGAGATCTGGACGTAGAACTGCTGCCGGCTGATGGCCTTCCGCAGGGTCTTGATGGCAGCCTGCAAGCTCTGCTCGGCCTGCTTCCGGATGCAGTCCTCATCGCAGGCCTCTGCGGGCGAGGGGGGAGTAGCGCTCACATCTGCTGGCAGGCCAGCTTTGCGCAAGGCTGTGGACCCTTTCAGCACATGCTCACAGTTGCCCGGGCCAGCGTCTAGCGGAAGGATGAATGAGAAGCCCAGGGATCTGAGAGGGGTAACCTGGCTGTGGCAGACCACAGGACAAGCCAGGCCTCTGTGACAGCAGGTTACCCCCAGGGCATAGCTCACTGGTTACGTGTGTGTGTGTGTGTGTGTGTGTGTGTGTGTGTGAGAGAGAGAGAGAGAGAGAGAGAGAGAGAGAGAGAGAGACTCAAAGACACTGAGCACTGCCATTGTCCCCAGATTATGGCCAGCTCTCTGGCCTTGGCTGGTCCCCAAGAGCACTTTCAGGTCTGGTTCCCACCTGCCTCAGCTACTGACCCCCAAACACTATGAACCCCACTTTCCAGCTGCCCCGCCTTCCTCCCTACTTCCCAGGTACACCTTTGTCCATGCAACCTCTGTGGTCCCGCTTCCTAACGCTATTCCTTGTCACCTCTTTTACCTAGTCAACTTTGACCTCAAGCTCTGATTTAGTGGCCGCTCTCATGGGGAGGCTTCCTGAACCTCTCCTTTGGGGAAAGGCCTTAGGTCTGTGGCTTCTGGTTCTTTTTTTTTTTTTGTTGTTGTTGTTTTTTTTACACACAAGCCGGGTTTATTCGTTCCCTCCCGAGAGTGCGCTCTGGGCGCGCGGGAAACAAGGAAAACGCACATACCGGGCGGTGCTCCGAGGGCGGCCTCGCGGCCATCTGCTGGCGAGGGGCCCCTCGAAGCCACTCCCCACCCGACTAGTGGCCCCAAGGCCCGTCCCGCCCTCCCCGGCGACACCCCCAGCAAGCCAACTGTCCAAGAAGCGCAAGAAGCTGGAGCCCTGGCATGCCTAAGCCGGCGCCGCACTTCCCGCCCGCGATCCGCGCAGAAGGTCCCCGTAGGTCCGGGGTGGATTCCGGGGCCGGGAGCGGCGCATGGGGTGCAGAGCTGCGGATCCCGCTGTAGGCTCAGCCCGGCCTTCTGCGTCCGGGAGCTGGCGTTCCAGGGTTGGCAGGCCCGTTCTTGTTGTTGTTTTTTAATTTAATTAAAAAAAATTTTTTTTAAAAAGACAGCCTCTTTTTTTTTTTTTTTTTTTTGAACTGGGGATTAAACTCAGACCCTTGTGCTTTCAAGAGATTTGTAACTGCAGACAAAAAGTCAGCTGTATTAGTAATAATATAATTAAGCTACAAAATTTTTTTTTTTCTGTGCGGAACCGGGAATTGAACTCAGGCCCTTGTGTTTGCCAGGCAAGTGCTTATTCCACTTAGCCATCTCCCTGGCCCCTGCTTCTGGTTCTTGAGCCCCCACCGCCTGTGGGGTCACTCAGCACTTGGCACCCTGTCTGCACACCTGCCTCCCCCAGCTGTGGTGCTGCCTGGGCAGGGGCCCCGGTGCCCACATCTAGAGCCTGGCACATGCCAAACACACTTGCCCACCACTCCCCACTCCTCCGTCACAGCCAAGAGGAATGTGTTGATGTAAGCTGTGTAACAGTGTCACGAGCCCTTCTGCAAGCGGGAGAGCCAGTCCTCGGTCAGCTGTCCTGGGATGCTGTGGACAGCTGCTCAGCACTGGGGCGGCTCTGCAGGTGGGGAGAGCCACGCAGCTGTCTCTGTGCCTGGAGCTCTTCCCTCCACACTGACCCTGGTCGTGCCATGGCTCCTGCTTGCCTGGCTGGCCTGCGCCTCCTGCTGCCAGGGCTCTGGTGGGAGCCTGGCTGCAACCCCATAACAGCTCCCCCAGGTGTGCAGCAGCCCACGGGCAAACCCCTCACCCACCTGAGGCCTCCTCCATCTTCAGCTCCACCTCGAACTCTGCTGTGACATGAGACACCTCCTTGGAAGGGGATTTGCGGCCTCGGCGCCTCTTCTTGGAGGAGTCACACTTGAGGGTCACAGAAGTCACGTGGCAGTTGTCTGGATGAGGGAGGGGGTGCTGAGGCAAAGGTGGCCTGGGTAGTAGGTGGGGTCCTACCAGGCCCTGCACAGAGACTGCCCCTGGGAAGTTCCTTGGTGCCCAATAGTCCCTGGAGCAGAAGGGGAAACTGAGGCCCCAGGAGGTCAGGGCTGGCTCAGGGCCTCTTGGGGAGCTGGTCGCCAATCAGTCTGGGGCTGCTCATGGAGCAGCTGCATTTGTATTCACACAGGAGGCTGTGAACCCAGCACAGGGGCTATGGAGGTTCTACCTAGGGGACACTGTCCCCTGTCCCCTCTGGTTAAGCCTGCAGTCTCATCAGCATCAGCCAACCTCACTCAAACACGGTCACCAAGTGAGCACCTTAATTCCTTCCACTGGGGCACAGCCAGACCATGTGGAAAGCCCCGGCTATGTCGCCATTTAACCCCGGGGGGCGGGCAGGGCCAATCATCCCCACAAATGTCAGGTGTTATGGTTTAGATCTAGAAGTCCCCTCAAGGCCTCATGCATGCATAGGCAGGGCTTTGGGAGGTAGTTGGATCCCGCTGGGGTCATGGCTGATTTGTGGATGGGGGCGGGGTTTGGGTAGAAGAGGCAGTCCCTGGGGGAGTGGCCTAGCAGGGTCCATCTCTCTCGCCTGCATGTCTGGGTCCTGCTTCCTGTCAGTCATGCTGTGAGCTGCTCGATGGTGTTGAGTGTTGTGTGTCAATGATGAGGACCATGGCTAAGACCCCAGGGGCCCAGATTCCCTACTCAGGCACTGCTTTCTTCTCTAGAGACACGGCCAGCGTCTGCAGTGCCCAAGCTTATCCGGCTACGGCCCCAACCCTTGACAATCCAGCTGCACTGGACTTTAGGCCGCAGCTCCAGGTCTGGGGGATTCCTCCGCCCCCTCTCTGTGGGGAACACAGGGTGGCACACTCACCCAGCAGGGGCTGCCTCTGGGTTTCCTTTGCTCGCTCCCGACTGCGGGGCCGGAGGTGGCACTTGGCATCTCTGGTCTTGAAGCGGGCCTTCTGCTTGATGGGGGCAGTGGAGGCATCTAGGGAAAGCCAAAATTCCCCCAGGTGGTGGTCTCTCCTGTGGGCAAGGAGGTGGTGGGGGATGGGTGCTCCCAGGGGAAAGTGACCCCAAGCTGAGGCTGGGACTGGGGCTGGGACTGGGGCTTGGTGCGGGCCACTCTGCCTGACAGCCCTGCAGGTTGGGGAACCTCGCCTCTGTGCCAAGCTGCAGAAGGTGATCCCATGGGCTGTGGGGTCGGGCTCAAGTCCAGGACCCTCTGCGGAGAAGATGGGCACTGACCACCTCCTGCCCCCTGCCAAAGCCATAGCACAGCTCAGGTTTTTAGGAAGAGAAGGAGAGGCAGGGGAGGGGGCCTGAAATACCCAGACAGGATCACAAAGTCCTGTGATTGCTGGACTTGGAATCATATCCCGGGGCCTCAACAGTGAGACAGCTTGCCTGAGTGGCAGGAGCCGAGCACCAGCAGCAGCGCACTATGCCTGGCAACCTCCAGGCCAGGGTTCACGCCTTATGGGTCTCAGAGCCTCAGCATGCAGCAGAGGCGACATGGGTCCTGAAACAGAGCCTGAGGTCCATGCACCCCCAGCATTGTGGGGCCACCAAACTGCTTTGTTCCCATGACATGGGGGCCAAAAGGACCCTCTGTGGCCCACTGCCCTGGGCTGGGACTTGGGCTGCAGCCTACAGGCTTCTAGGGCCTCCTGGCCTTGTCTTGTGCCCGGTATCCCAGGCCCGCTGGTTCCTGACCTCAGTCTTCCCTGGGCTATGCCTCTCTGTTCTCCCAGCATGGTGCTGGACACCAAGCGAAGGGGCCACCCAAGGGAGCGTGGCATGGGGAGGCCAGGGCTACCTGAGCAGCTGGGCCCGCTGCCAGAGCTGGTGCCATTGTGCTTGGGCTGCGTCCTGCCCTGGAGACCTGGAACGCCGCAGCTCAGGATGTAGCTGTTCTCCGAGTCTGCAGAGAGGCCAGTGGGTGAGGTGGGTCTGGGTGCACCTCCCTTCCAGGACCCCAGATTCTCGAGGCCTCCGAGGGGTTGCTGAATGGGATGAAGGTCAGGGCTAACCCCTTGGTCAGCTTTTTCTGCCACATGCCCAAGGGCAAGTGGCTGGGCAGGGAGGAGCCCAGACCCCAAAGAACCAGGCAGACAGGCAGGTCCCCTGCCCAGGAGGACTTGGGGACCAGGGCCTCTGTTGCTAGGCCAGGTTCTTCCTTAGGAGCAGCAGGAAGCAAGAGCCCCAGGGAAGAGCTCCCCCAACACAGCCCACCCCTGGGATAGCCGGGGGTTACCTGGCACGAAGAGGGTGTGGGCCACGCAGGAAAGGAAGCAGCTCTCCACGCCGCCCACCTTACTGCAGGACAGCTGGGCCTGCGCGGAGGCCTGGGCCCGGGAGAGGCACTTGCCGGTCTCTGAGGAGAAGGAAGGCAGAGAGTGTGGCCAGGGCCACAGGCCAGCAAGCAGGACCACCAAGGGCTCCTACACCCTCCCTTCCAGGGCCTGATGGACAAGGGGGAGCTGCCAGGGGCCAGGTTCATTTGGCTGTGGGGGACACAGTCAGATAGCTGCTCCCTCTCCTCCCAGACACTCGCCCTGCTGTCTGTGAGGAGGCTCAGGGTGTCCCCAGGTGGGAGTCTCCCAGGGCCAGGGCCAGGTCCCCAGAGCAGCTATCCCTGACCATTGGGGGGAAAGGGACAGTGGCAAATGGAGCTTCCTGGTGGGGGTCCAGCCTCGAGGCACGGACCAGAGAGAACTTTGGGTGTCTGAAGATGAGAGAAAATGCCTCCTGTGTTTGACAGAAGACTCTGAATTGATGACCCTTGGGTCACTGGGAGAGCCAGCCCATCAGAATGCCTCACGCTGGGCCGCATCAGTCAACACAGGAGGGACATCCTCAAGTAGGGGGCGCCAGGCTCCATTAGTCCCCCTGTGGCTAGTTCAGGCATTCCTAGGACACCTCAGCTCTCCTGGAAGCTGTCACCTCAGCTTTCCAGTGTACAGTGTGGCGATCCCCTCAGCTCTTCCGGGATGGATTCAGAACACTCCTGCTTCCCTGTGTCCTGTGGGTGCCGGGGGCCCACAGATGACTTCCCTTAAGAGAGATGTGGGGTGCAGTCAATGGAGCAGGACCCTACTCCCTGATCTGCCTCACTGAGCTCTCCCACTTGCTGGTGTTGATGACAGCTGGACACCTGTGGTCTCCAGTAGCCCTCCGAGCAGAGGCGTGGGCTGCACGCCTGTCTGCCCTGCTGGTCCTGCTGCTTCTCTCTCTCGTGTGTGATGCTTGAAGCTGCTCTACAGGAGGTATGGAGACACCAGCCCTGTGCACTTCCGACCCCATCCCCCTGGACCCCAAGGATGCACGGGGGTGGCAGGGAGGTAGATTCACTGCCAGGGACTGAGGGGGCCTTCCCCAAGTCCCTGACAAAGTCCTCATGAGGACAATCTTGTTGGGCCGAGACTCCAGAGCGGTCACTTTGCTTTGTCCACAGCCAGGAAGTCACGGGTCCCACAGCTTTCTTGCCTCTGGCTGGGGACACTGGCAGGCGCTCTAAGCACATGCTTCTGATTGGCTGTGGCGATGATTGAGGGTTTTTTATGCCAAAGCCACAAGGTCCTGGCAGAGCTCTTTGATCCTCGTGGACTCAGACTACAACCCTAACTCTCACTTGGCTGGTACAGCGTAAGTGCCCCCTCCCACCTGCCACGAACCCCCAACCACCACCACTAGCAACAGCCACTTAGAATAACACCGGTCATTATGGGTGCTCAGGACAGTTCGAGTCTATGAACTGTGCTGAAGAAGAGCTCTAGAAAGCTAGGAGAAGGGTGCTGACCATCCAGCAGTTGGTCTCAGGCAGTGGCGTGCGTTCGCCTCAGTTTCCTCCTGGTTCCTTCCTCAGTTTCCTCTGAACCTAGTCCTGTAGCTCTCTCCTCCCAGTTCCACCTCCACCTGCCCCTTACAGCCCCCCAAGTCCTGCTATGGCCCTGACTTTAGGAAGCACCTTCTTCCTTGGGGTGGCTTGGGACAGGAAAAGCCACACTGCATGGAAGTCCATTATAGCAGCCTGCGGAGAACACAAAGCTCCTAAAGTGCAGGAGTTGGAAAAGGATTTGCTTCCGATTTCAGGATTTTATTGGCTCGCTATTGTCCTGGGTGACTGGATCTGTACTGATGAGCTCGCTTAACTCTTAGGATCTGTTTCATTTGGTACTGGGGACTGAACTCAGGATCTTGCGCTTGCCAGGCAGGCGCTTAAGCTGCTAAGCTATCTCCCCAGCCCCTTAAACTGTTAGGATCTTGGGGAAGAAAAAGAAGATAAAAAAGCAGCAGCTAGTAAAGACCAGAAGATCTGAACCCCTCCCCAAGCACAACGTAGGACAATTGCCCTAGGTGAACAAGCGAAGCCGGAACTGTACTACCTAGGGCCAGTTCAGAAGCATTTCCTGAGGAAAACAAATGGGAAAGATTCGCAATTGTGAATCAAGGAAATATGATTTACTTGGTGACTTTATTTTATTTTATTTTTGTGGTACTGGGGATTAAACTCAGGACCTTGTGCTTGCCAGGCAGGCAATTATGCCGCTGAGCTATATCCCCGGCCCCCCTTGGTGACTTTAAACATAGATTTGATACTTGCAATCACCATTTTTGAGGAGATCCCAAACCAAAATGTGTTGAGGGAGTCTTGTCCTTCCTTTTTGCAGGTGGGTATGTCTGAATGGGGGTGGGAGGGACTTGGAAAAATAAATCGGAATGAAAGAATGTCAGTTTAAATAATCTTTACCATGCACCTGAATATTTTCAAGGAGTCTGAGAAAGAGAGTAATTTAGAAACAAACAAAATTCTTCATGGTCTTCCCAGTGAACATATCTGGGGCCCAAAGTGCTCTCTTCCCAGACGCCTCTGCGCCTGGGGATGAGGACACCTGAGGGAACTCAGTCTCCAGCACAGGCCTGTAGATCTCTGTGTCCCCAGAGCCCCTGCACATCCTGTGGGGTTCTGACGCCTTTACAGGGGCCACTGCTCAGATTGTGTGTGCAGCAGGGAACTCGGGGGTGACACCACATCCCTAGACAAAGAGCTGGCTGGCTTCTGTTCAGCCCGAGAGCCAGTGGACCTGGGCTTGGGATAGGTGTCCCCTGCCTGTGCAGCGCCTGCCTGGTGGGACTCAGGGGTGGCTGGAGGACATGCTGCTGCTCTCGCACTGCTGGCCAGCACCCCCGGCTTGGGGGAGGAGCGCAGGATGGGAAATCCACACCCCAAAGAATTCCACTGCCACTGCCTGGTTGCCACGCTGAGTGTAAGCCGGGTCTACAGCCAAGCTAAGGACTGGAAAAGGCTGACTTTGGTTTCCCTAAATGGTGCATGGGTAGTAAAGTCCTTTATCCCTTACCAGGAGGACCATGGCTTCAGCCACATCCTGCAAGAGGTCAGGAGAAGCCTGAGACTAAGAGTCGGCCAGCATCGATCCTTCGGCCCCTCACCCCATCATGGCCAGTCTCTCAGAGAGAGCCCAGGGGAACTGGTGGCGACAGGGAAAGAAAGACAGGGTGCGGCTGCAGCCCTGGAGCAGGATGCCTTCCTGTGCGCACATGCATGAGGGGACATGTGTGAGCACATGTGAGGTACATGAGCATGTGAGAAAGGAAAGCACACAGAGGGATGTGAGAGCATGTATGAGGGGATCTGTGGACACATGTGAGGACATGTGTGAGGACACATGTGAGGGCATGCGTGATGGCACAGGTGAGGGCATGTGTGAGGGCACATGTGAGGGCATGTGTGATGGCACATGTGAGGACATGTGTGAGGGCACATGTGAGGACATGTGTGATGGCACATGTGAGGATGTGTGAGGGCACAAGTGAGGACATGTGTGAGAGCACATGTGAGGACACATGTGAGGACACACGAGGGCACATGTGAGGATATGTGTAGGGCACTTGTGAGCAGGTGTGTCACAAACACGAGAGTGCAGGGGATTTAGGGTGACTGGGAGGCCCCCGTGGTTGGGCCTTTTCTAACCAGCTCAGCACTCCTGGTCCTGCCCATCACCATTCCTCTGGTCTTGTCCCATAAAAGAGCCCCTTTTGTCTGGGACAGAGGCCCTGTGGCTGGGAGGGCTCTACTCTGCCGCTGGGACTACAGGTAAATACACAGGGAGGGTTATTTTTAGAAGTCACAGAAAATCCTCTTACACATGATTTGAATTATAGCTGAGGGAACCCTAACATGCCTGCACTACACAGGATTCAGGAACAGAGTCCCTGGGGCAAAGGCCGACACAACAGCAGCAGAGTGCCTGGCAAGGAGCCTGGGAGGGGTCCAACTTGAGCGTTCCCAGAACACCACAAGCTCTTTGGAGTGAACACGCCAAGGTCAGGCCTGGTTCTCGGGGTCTGAACAGGACACGCTGATATCAGCAGCCTGCACGCTTCCTGGATGCAGCCACAGGGGTGTGTTCTCCTGCCCGGGGCAAGCCTGCTCAGTGAGCTGAACCATCTTTGGATCTTGAAGTAGAACTGCCCTTCCTTCTCATGACACCAATTACAGTGTGACTTGTCCTGTGAACTAAAAACATCTAATGTCAAGCCAGGCGTGGTGGTGTACATCTGTAGTTCCAGCTACTTGGGAGGTTGAGGTAGGAGGACTGTAAATTTGAGGCCAGCCTGAGTAACTTAGTTGAGACCCTGGCTCAGGCTGGGAGTGTAGCCCAGCAGGCATTTAGCTACAATATGTGAGGTGCTGGGTTCAAT